GATCAATGGCATTAACATTGACTGTATGTCGTGCGAATTTCTTTCTATTCTGTTGGCGGTAGTTTATGTTTATATTAGTTGCTTGATGCATTGGTAAACAATTGTGGAAAAATATTTCATGTACATGTAGCAAATGAAGAATTTCTAAAAGTACTCAAAAGTGTCATCGCACCAAAGAATAATCCACCAATGCCGATTGAAGAACAAATACTTAGCATGATTCAAGTAAGAATATATTTTTTCTATATTTAATTATACATATTCAACTATTTCTATGACAAAATAACGATAGCATTGGGCATTAGTTTTTCGTCATGATTCTGATTTACAGATTATTCAAGAACTTTATGAAGAATGTAAACGACAAGGTTATACATTTCCACCAGTCGATAAAAATCTTAGTGTCAAAACAATGCTACCTAGCAAAGTAAGTTATTCTTTCCAAACAATAACAATCGCACGTTTTTGTTTCTCATAGGTTGAATCTACTCGTCCTATTTCAGCTCTACCAATAGCAGTACGATAAAATGTCCTTCTTTATTTTTGTTCTATATTTTCTATGTTTAGTCCCAATCAGCACCCAGAACGATGACTAGACCGGTAAAATTACAAAGAAAACCTGTTAATATAGACTAGCTGTTCATTTGCAGAAAACTTCATCTGTATCGAATCGACACAATCAATCAACTTATTCTAATCCATATTTGAACAGTAGCGATACGACAGTACTTATTCGACATTTATCCGATGAACAGATTGGCAAACTTCGAAGTGAACTCGACATTGTTCATATAAACGTCGAAGTACTTGATGAAATGCTTGCTACATTGGAGCCTGGCAATGAACATCAACAAGATTGGCAACTGTTAATCGTGAGCAAAATCTATGGAAAAAGGAATGAATTAATACTTGTTTGTTTTTAACTAGGATCTACACAGAACCTGTAAAATGATGCAAGCACGAATTGTTGGTCTTCTATCGGTGACGGCAATCGAGGATATTGCTGGTAGAGAAAATGAATGATTTTCGAATTTTCTATCTTATTTTTCTTAGTCGATCTTCTCCGATGTAATGATCAATTGAACAAAGCATTCAATTCTTATCATTGGTATATGGAAACACGTGAAAGACTATTGCAACAGACTACGTCTAGCCCACAAATTAAACAGAGCAGCAGAATAATACCATCCCATGCTACTATACCGCCGTTGTCGCCCATTAGAGTGATGATCTACTATATCTAAAGAGTTGACACATATTTTCTTATGTGCACTTTTAGACACCAACTGCGCCGTTGTATATTGAATGTAATGAAGAAGATCAACCGATGGTACCATCCCGAAGTGAACATACGACTTCAGACGATACTTCACGACAATCACCTACAGAAGATACAGTTATTTCTTCGAAGATGAATCGCTATCCTTCTGTAATGTCTGACTATTTTCCTTCAGAACAGAATTCGGATAGGCGGTCATTACCTACGAAGTTGCCTCCGATAAGTTCGTATCTTAGGAACACCAACAATAATTTATCTAATCTCTTTTGAATTAAATCAGGACTCACATCATTACCAGATCCTGAGCCCAGATCAATGCCACAGCCAACAGTGTAAGAATATGTACCCAATCAAATCGATGAAATAACGATCCAATGAGTTCCTGCATTAGAATGTACTTGATACATTTCATTTTAGGGTTAGACGTGACCGATCCGCTCGTAGCTCCGCTCGAATAATCAGAAATCATAATCATGATCAAGATCAAGTAAGTACTTCAATATTATGCTAATATCCAGTGAGACAATATAAGAGTTCAAATTCTTCTACGTTTTTAACTTCTTCGAATAAATAAGCAAAAAATTTGCGGTATTGATACTTATGTGTTCACAACAATCATAATACTTTGGCAAACAAATACGATTGACTTGAGTAGAATTGATCCCTCGAGATGAAATTTCGTTCACGATGAGATTCTAAGGACAATTTATAACAAGAATTGAACTTTTTTCGTAGGCATATTTTTACCAATTTATTTTTAATATGATATACATACTGAATTTTAATTTTCACTTATGTTGTACTTGATTTTCTTTTTTTTTCTCCACTGAATGGACTTATTCTAATTCATGTCTCGCATTCGTTTGTGTATTTTAGCATTGTGATCATCATGCAGAACCGGTAGAACAGGAATCAACGGTGCAAAAGACGAATAAAATAGTAAGAGAATCAAAACTAAAAAATAAAGAAGAAACTCGTTCTTTTGGTTTAAGGACAATCGCAAGGATGGTATTTCTCGGACAAGATCCGCATTGCCATCAAGAATCAAACAATTGACGATCGATGACAATGGTTGCACAGATAGTCCGTACAAGATTACTTCATACCATCGTATTGGATCTGATTGAATGAAACAATCATGTGATATTGAATAAACGCAAAGCGAACTTAAATTTTAACTGCCTGTATACTTGCGTAGAAAATTATCTCATTTTCAAAATTATCAGCCCAATTCCTACAGAATAATGACATAAAACTATTCTCATCATAAATGAGAACTTTTGAAACATCAATAAAAATCGATGGTCATCTTGGATAAGCAAAAGCTCGAAACGTCGTTCCTTGTCTATTGCTGAGACCAATACTTAATATTTCATGGTGACAAAACATAGTTATTCATTTTTGACATTTGAGCGGATTTGAAATTGAAAAATGATTTCAAGATCATCAATTTAAAAATGAAGAATCTGAAATGTATAAGACAATTGGATAGTTCAAAAACTATTTCAAGAAGTCCAAAACATTCGGTTTCTCCTTGGCATATTGATATGAGTTGCAGAAAAAACCAAAAGGTTTACTTTCTTCATTATATACATCAGCAATCCTTGAAAATCAAGCTTGATAAATAATTTTTCTTTTGAATTTCTAGAGAAAAAGTTATATATTAGAAGAATATAGAAATGTAATAATATCCATAGAACATTGTGATACAGCTAGTGAGATATTAATATTGTGACATTTCTATCGGTGTATATTACGATATACACAACTCCACAGAGAGACAATACAACATTTTTCAAGATGTAGCAACAGTGATCGACACTGATGCAAGAATTGATTAGTAATAAAATAGTGTTAAAACGTCCGTCATTCTTTTGACTTTGGTGCACGAAACAAATCATTCCTAATTGGAACATGGCTTATCAATATTAAAATTTAGTTTGAGTACACTACTCCAGAAATCGGTACCATATTTATAAAAGAATCGTGCACCTTCAATCGATCAAATAGAAGCATTTATGCAAATCAATTTGATAACTTTTGATAAAGTATCACAATAATTAATATTCGAGTCAATAAAAGTAACATAGAAATATTCTGACTGAAAGAATTCTTGCGTGAAAGTTGTTTTTGATCGATGCGATCAATCGATTCTTCTACAAAGATCTCATGTGAACTAACATCTATCTAAATCCGTTTTGTTGTGTTCAAGAAAGGAATATATCCTTCATTATAAAGCATAAACATATGTTTTTGAATAATTGTTACAAAGTGCCAGTTAGACTAACTCCATCATCCTTTTTCTGCTACTGCTTTTCATGTCATCTATAAGAATATGTATACATTACCGTGATGTATACTGTTTATGAAAAGTAGTATATACTTTGCTGATAGCTGGAATTGCAATGATACATAAAGTAAACAAAGGTCAAGAATTTTTAATTAATTTTAGAATAGCAAGTTGTTCTTGCTCTACAGACAAAGTGTCAAATGTTGTTATATGAAAAGTAGACTTCGAGAATGCTACAGTATTAAGAAGAATACAATATTTTCATAGTCTTAGCATTGTGTCTATCTTTGATCTGCCATCAACATCACAACCATAACGTTATTTGGTATGTTATATTCAGTATATGTGATTAGTTCTCAAGTTTATTTTGATTCTGCACATCTATAGAAAATTACATATAAAACTTGACGTTTTTTAATATACAAACTTTAGATATGAGTTCGACAATTTAAGACACTCTATTGATGTAGAGAAAGAAGAGTTTGGACTTCTACAATATGCAATATTTGATAAGAGAATTGTATGATCAGACTAAAGACATATGAGACTTGTGAATTCTTGGAGTAACAGAGAATAACGACAATAAGAATTTTTTAAAATCTCTCACTATTTTCGTGAGAAGAACTGATTGATATACTCATAGATGTTGCCATCAGTTGTGTTTGATCAACATAAGGATTGATAAGAGACGTTTTTCTCGTGAACAACACTCATTTTCCAAATTTTTTTTAGCAAAAAAAAACACATATCACAGCCCAGTCGTCGCTGCATGATTTCTTTGTAGAAAATCCATTTAAATAATTGATGGTTACAAAAGTTTTTTTCGAATAGAACATGCAAGGTGATTTTGTTCAAAGAGAAAATTCCGCTCGATTTTCTTCATTCTTTCAAAAATTTGATTGAAAAAAGAGCGAAATATTCTTGCTTCTGCCACGCGTTTTTGTACGAATAAGTGCTTAACCTTCTTCTTCCGGATGCTATTGGCTGCTTTTACAAAGAATCTGCCATTTTGTCTCTTTACTTAGTGCTGATCAAGAGTGGAAAAGTTGAATTTCTATTCATAAAATCTCGTGAAACCTCTGCAAATCCTTAGAAGTCTTTCAAAAAGCTTGAACCAGCTTTTTCCCGTTTGATATAGGTGATAACATGGTATAAAAAGTATTTTCTCTCTTGTCTAAGAAACAAAACAATATAGTTTTCGCCCCTTTTCTATATGCTTAACATCGATTGCAGCATAATAGAAGTACTATCTGCTAGATAGGCGTCAAAGAGAGTCTTCAAAAATATGAGGAGGTGTCTTTGGTCATTCCATCGTCATATTCTTTCCGCTAAATAGAAATCTTATAAATATTGACTTACTACTCAAAGAAGAGCTGTAAGACGAGAAATAGAGCAACATTAATGGAAATTAATGTTCGTTTTCATTTTCTTTCTCATCTATTTTTTTGTCTTTGCGGCGTCGGTTATAAAATTTTTCTCAAACTCAGTGGCTGTGGTGGCTCAATCGATACGCTTGTATCTCTAGCTAGAGCCTGAGGTCGGTATGAGAGATTATGCATAAAAGTATGATAGGTGTAAAGTGTAGACAAGAATATGTATGCGGATAAACTTGAAGATATGTGAGAGCAGATAGATAACATGCATCTTCACCCACATCAATACTCATATGCTAGCTACACTGCAATGAGTCGTTTACATCCTATTTCAATCAGTCACTCATTATGTTTCACATTCTGAATAGTCAACAGTAAAATCAATCGATCAAAAATATAATGTCTGCGCTAATTTTGAAAATACAGATGGAGAACTGCAAGCCGAATTTCTAATCGATCCTTTCAAGATAAGCATGAAGTTGTAATGGATATTTTTCATTGATCTCGATATTAAAATGATTTGGACTGATTCTTTGAAAAAAACTTGTAGTTGAACTAGAATTAGAAGAGCATAATTCACGTAGCTCGTCTCTGTTTATACAAACAGTAATTGATCGGTGTTAACATGAAACCAGAACGAAAGTTTAGCACATTTTTCATCATAATACAAAAACCCTAATTCGATTCAATCTCCAATCACATAGTCTATTGAGAAAAGCATTGGGTTGTGAGGAGAAAATGTTATACATTGATTTGCGTCATTTGCATAAGGCTATTCATTTTTAAGTCTACATTCTATCTTTCATTAATCTCTTAAATCTTCAGTTCGTCCCACAAAAAAATATTTTAATACTTCTAAAGAAGAAAATCTGATCTACAACAACTTTCGTTGTGCAGAATTGTTGTATTGTTCATCATTCACGTACTCGATAGGACACTTGATACATAATCCATAGAGTCAAAAATCACTTTCCATCATCTGTTGAACAAGTCATTTTTATATAGTATGCAATTTAATTAGTTTTCTGGTAAATGTTCTTTTGTTCTTCTTTTTACATGGCTTGCAGTGTACAAATTGTTC